AACACTTTAATTTAGGGATTTCAAATGTGAAATTGAGAATGGTTGAGGTATTTATAGTGATATTTATGATGAATTTGTAAGAATTCCACACTGTTAAATTCGGCCACGTAGATATAACCAGCCTGCCACGTAGACAAAAGCAGCCGGACATGCTGGCATATTTTGACCGTCCGACGGGTATTAAGTTCATGTTGCAAAAGTAAGACAATGTAGAAATTATATTGCAATTATCCAAAGGTTTGGAACAAATTGCTAAAAGTGAAAAGATCAAGGTTTATTTGACAATTAACCCAATAAAAAATGTACTCTTTTTCATGTTGTTGGAATGAAGTATGAGATTTCATGAGCTTAAGTTACGTAACAAAAAAATGTATATAAAACATAAACTAATCTACAAATTTTTAGGATATTAGATTAGTTATAAGACTAATTGGTTCGTAGTTATCTAAAAAATGACAATTAATAAGCAAAAAGAAGTGTGCACTCAAACGACAATTAAAATAAAATGGAGGGAGTAAGTATTAATATGTTTCAAAAAGTACATATGTAAGTTCTAATAAGTCATATGATAAAAATTTTATAAAAATCTCAAAACGTCAATCAAAGTTATTACAGTTCACAAAATTCCATCAAAGTCACTTTTAATTTAAAAAGTTTAAAAGTTTAAATTAAATAATCTCCTTAAATATTTTAGGTTATGAAACAATGGAAAAGCTTTTAAACATAAATTGTTAATTGGCTTTTTTGGGATCCATACTGATTACTCTTAACAAAATTGGTTTCAACACTGTAAGTTTGAATATTTAAACTTCCTAAATTTTTTGTGCAGGAGAGGAATAAAAATATTTAGTCAAATGTAAATGAATGTACATTCTCATTTCTTGAACACTTCTCGCTAAAATCTTAGTATACCGACCAAATAGGAAGTTCAGTTTTATTATTTTGTTCAAATAGAAAAAAAGCATAATAATAAGGATAAAATACTACACTCTCGTAACGGAACAATTTCATCGGGATTTATAATCGTTAGATCATCATGTAACCATCATCGCGATCCGTCGTGGATAATTAATCTAACGGTTACTAACTCCAACGGAATGATTTCCTAACGGTACCGTAACATCTCTCAATAATAATAAAATTGGTGTGCAATATTTTTTGGCAACAAATATCGGCGATCCTATGACACAGCGTTTCAGTGTTGTTTCCATATTATCTCATCTCTTTCCTTAAAAACATTTAAACGCCAAAAGAAAAGAAGAAGAAAAACTAGTAGGATTCCGGCAACGCCTAAAAAAAATTCAAGATTTGCTACACTTAATTTATTTCTTAATTACGAATCGTTTCCAACTTTTATAGAACAAAAAAGGGAACTAAAAAATCGCACCTTTTAAAATCCCATGCTCATCTTCTTCTTTTTGCTTCCTTTCAGATTTTTTATTCTTTGTGTTCTGTTTTTTTTTTTTTAAGCTTCTTCTTCAAGATTCAATTTTTTTATTTTTTTGTGTTCTTTCGAATGGTATTAGAGATTAAAATTTTTAGCCTTTGTGTAGTGTTTATGGTGATGGCCATGGACAGCTTGTTTTGCGACCCTGTAAAATACACCGAACACAAGAAAATCACCAAAACGACGGCGGCCGTTAAACCCTCCAAACAGAGCCTCAAGAAAATACACCGAACACAAGAAAATCGCCGGAATTTCCGAGATCTCGACGAGGCCCCGAAAATCGTCCGTATTTCCGTCACCGACCCCTACGCCACCGACTCGTCCGACGACGAGGGGATTCTCCGCCGGCGGCGCGTCAAGAAATACATCACCGAGATCAGAGTGGACGCCGGTAACTGTACCAACGGAAGGAAGCGGACGGCA